TTTGGTCCTGTCCCACAACTCTCTTGCGCAGCCTCTCAGCCAGCCCGATCACCCTCTCCTCATTTTGTCCAAGCCTGGTTGGATTCTACCTGGTAATCACATTTGCATATTCAGTATCGCCGCAAGATTTCTGCGACGATTGGGCTCGCCTGATTACCTTAATCAAAGAAGTGCTTGCAGGGATTTCATCCGGGGCAAGATGCTGAGATGGCTTGATTGAGGATTCGTTCAAAGGAGTTCACGGCCTCATCTCCACTACCAGCATTGGCGACTGCTTGCCGGAGGATGCTATTTGGGTCAGTTATCAATGCGACGGCCATGTGAATTGGAGTAAACTGTGCATGGCCAGAGTTCATTGCCAGTTCATGAGCCCCAGCAATGGCCTTGTTTGTTTTGTGAGTGAACTTGTTTAACAGGCCGGTGTTGAAAAGATGAAGTAACAAGAAAACAGAAGGTAGAAGAATTATACCCTAACATTTTTTGATAAAAAGAATGTTTAACAGGCGGACTCACCATTTAGGGGCAGTTTAGTCGTGAAATATGCATTTAGGTTGACGTGGACAATTTGGGTCATTGAACTTTAACCGTTTAGGGCAGTTTAGTTATGAAATATGTATTCTAACAGAGTTTTAGAAAATAAAATCTAGTGGGTTTTGGACAATTTCCCTTTTTTTTCCTTCCTCTTCTTACAACTTAAATATCTTCCAATATGGGCTGCCATGACAGTGAACGAGCAGCTCTTTTGAATTTCAAATAAAGACCCTTATACTCTCGTTTGTCTTCTTGGAAACGCTTAAACTGCTGTAATTGGATGGAATCCGTTTTTCAGACTCCTTCCATGTCAGCCATCGACCTCCGGAACCCCAACCCCGATAGTTACATACTTAGGACTAATACTGAACTGATCTCCACCTCTGCTTCCAAATCTACTGCCACTAGTCTTTTTTTTTATTATTATTTTGATTTGTTGGTAAGGGATGCAACATTTATGGTCTGAGTATGCAACGTTTAAAGCTAGATTCTGATATCGTAAATTGCAGTTTATAGTGTCTCTATTTATAATTTATGGGGCGGAATCAACTCACTTCATTAGATAATTGAAGACATTTAATTCAGCTTTTCTGTGTTTTTTTTTTTTTTTAATTCAGCTTTTCTAAATACCCTTACACGGTATTTAGAACTGTAATGTTGCGTTTCCATTTTTACATTTTTACTGCGCGTAAGCACAACGTGGGTGATTGACTTTAACATACAAAAAACACATTTGATTGGGCATCTTTTAATTTTACAGTTTCATCACATGGATTCTGTGGATGAAGGTATATATATATATATATATACCCGATTTGCCGGTAGGGGCATATCGGGCGAATCGATACTACATTTTGTGTCTTTTTTATTTTTTTCGCAACTGGTTCAGGGGTAGCNGGTGACACCATGCCCAAGGCACCATCTTGTTTGCCTTCAAGATTAACTTGATGCTAATTGTATCTTGATTTTAAAATGTTATTTAACTTGTTTATTAGAAACCCAAAAAATTTGCTAATTATACTCTACTATAGAATTTATGCATTGCCTAGGTGCACTTTGTCTTGATTTTGAAATTGGTGCTTGATTCCATTTTCTATCTAAAATTGTTTCTTTTTAACGGCATATATTGTTATCAAATGCATCTTAATTCAATAAGGCTATGCTCATTGTTATCTTTGCTTCATGGAACTTGCCTTCTAATGCATGGTTTTAGATATAAATGCATTTTTTTTTATTTGTTTTGTTATAGATATGTCACATAGTACATCTAGCGATACAAAAGATAATGCCAAATGGTCAAGAAAAGAGGAGAAGATACTTGTTGAATTGTAGAGCAGGGCAAAAAGGGTAATAGGAAGAGTATTACCACCTTTACCTCTATTGATGTGGGGCCCACATGATTCTATGATATATATTTGCCATTTAGTGTTGTATGTATACCTATATATGTTATTATTTTGATTAATGAAAAAAATGAATAAGAATGAAATTTTTAACCAAACAGGTTAAAACTTTTTCTCATTCTTGCTACAAAAAAAATCATTTTTTAGGAAAAAAGTGTTTGGTTCGTAGCAATATTTTCTCATTCTTCCCATTTTTACTCATTCCTTTCCATCTTAGAATTTCATCTTGCGTAAGAATGAGAAAGAATGGGAATTGAACTAAACATGGCCTTAACTCTCAACCAAGTACATAACTATATAGCCTAGTAATCCAAGCAAAAAAACCCTCACACATGGGGCGGAACAACAGCGATAGCTTGGCCTGGAGCTTGTCCTAGATTACCCATATCCTCCCTGCACCCGAAGTGCTATGAAGGCTCACAATTGTGGCAACTTCCCACCACCATGAGAATTCAGCATCCCAAAGCTCTTGAAAACCACCTTCGGAGCATGAACAAGTTGGAAAACAAAAACATAGAAAAAAGGTGTAACATATAAAAGCTTCATTTAAGTAAAATAACAATGACAAAAAAAAAAAACTCAGACACATAAAAAAAGCTTTGTTTGGACTCTGAGCTGTAGATTATAGTTACAAAATGAAACCTTTCTACTATGTATGTATGTATGTATGCAAGGTTCAAAATATCGATATGCCCAATATGTCGGTAGGGGCGTATTGGGCCATATCAGTATTTTGTTTTATACTTTTTTTTTTTATTTTTTTCAAAACTGGTTCATGGGGCGGTTTAAGGCTCCACCACCCCCTGAACCAGTCAGAACCCCGATACACCCCCTGTAGAGCGTATCGGGGAGCTCCTGAAACGATACTATCGGACGATACGTATCAATACTTTGAACCTTATATATATATATATATATATATATATATATATATATATATATATATATATATATATATATTTATCAAGGGGTATCCTATGAAATGTTTTGGTTTTCAGGCCTTTTAAGAGTTTTAAAGATTAGTACCATCCTAATATATCTATTTGTAAATTTATCAAACCGAAATTGTTGATACAATTTTTGCCCGTCCAAAGTAGTGATACTCTAAACCAATGCTTTAAAAACCAATTGGAAGGCTAAATCATTTTTGCCTCCAGGTCACCCATTTGACTATATGGGCCGAATGGGTCAAATCATGTCACATCATCTACTAATAAAAGAAATGTATAATTATATGTAACACATTTTATCAATAAATAATGTATAAATATATTTTATAAGGTCAAAAGGGAGGGGGTTGGCAAAAATAGCAGTGTGTGTGGGGGGGGGGTGTTGCTTGGGATGCATAGATCTCAAAAAGGTATCGAAAATAAAAAAGAAATCATTCCAATCAGATATTAGAATGCAAAGTTACGGCCTCCAAAAGTTTGCATATACATTTATTGTGCAGCCCATGACCGACCCAATGACCAGGTTAAATGGATCAACAATTCAACTGCCCGGATTGGATGGTTGTTTGACCAGGTCATTATTTTGAACAAATATCAAGTTTTTGTATATTCAGAATTAGAATCAAGGCCGGCTGCCTGTTCAAATTGTTCAACAAATTAGGTCAATCATGGATTTGAAAACATTGCTTTGGACCATGGGGAAAATGTCAAAAAAAAATATAATAGTCTTTCATGAACTAAGCATAAAAAGCAGAATAGAATAAACCATAGACACTCAAACAGAACAAACCCCAAAAAGTCTTGAGAACCAAGAGGGCAAGAAAACATTCCCACCATTTGGAGTGTGTCCTGCACCTATGTGTGTGATATTATAATAAAATATTGTGCGGTGTATTTTGTGTCAAAACATCTCATTTTCCTGAATGTTACCACGAGCATTCTCCCATTCCGTTTTCTAATGGCGAGAATTTTGTTCATACGTTAAAAAAGTTTGAAAAGATTAAATGTAACAACCTTGTTAATAGAGAAGATGTGACGCCTTTCTGATGAAGTAATAATTCACCAATTGAAGGCTTTGCTTGAACAAGAGGTAACATCTTAGACTGCTTGAAGACCAATTAAAAGAGTATTTATCTTCTTATTCTCCATGCTTGCTCGCTACATCATTGATTAAATTAATTATTATAAAGTCAAGGGATGACGTTGATGAGGATATAGATAAGCTTTTCATTCTCAATTCGAGTTAGCATGAGCAAACCTTACCATAACTGAATCAGGGAAAAACCCATACACACAAACAAGTGAGACAGCAGTGGGTTCAATTGGGTAACCAGCCTTCGTTATCAAACTGACTCGGATTGAAGATGGTCTAAGGTCTAACAGACGGAATGCATTATATAAATTATAATAAACAGAAACTACCTGCGCTATCTGACTTCCATCGAATGAAATCATCTTTTCTGCATACCTGACCAAAATGCACTATATGAACTCTTCTACTGACGGTTTTCCTCTTTATCTTTCTGTTCCTCCATCTGTTCTGAAGAAAGTCAAGCTTAGAAATGAAATTCCATACCATTGCACTTCTTCTTCTTCTTCCTCTTCTTACAACCCCAATATCTTCCACTATGGGCTGTCTTGACAATGAAAGAGCATCTCTTTTGAATTTCAAATCTTTTCTCACAGACCCTTCTACTCGTTTGTCTTCTTGGCAAGGGCTGAACTGCTGCAATTGGACCGGAATACGTTGTTCTGATTCCTTCCATGTCATTGCCATCGACCTTCGGAACCCCAATCCAGATAGTTATATGTACTTAGCACCAATTCTGAATTGGTCTCTACTTTCGCTTCCAAATCTACTGCCATCAGTGGAACAATCGCACCATCGCTTTTCACACTCAGCCATCTCCGCTACCTTGATCTCAGCTTCAATAATTTTCAGTTTTCTAAGATCCCATATGAGTTTGTTAGCCTCAAAAGTCTCACTTACCTCAACCTCTCAAATTCCAAGTTCAACGACTCCATTACAACCCAGTTTACCAATCTTTCCTCCTTAGAATACCTTGACCTTTCATGCTCTTGCCCAATAGCCGATCTGTCAACCCTGTCCTTTAACATGTCTCCAATGAGGGTTTCCTTAAAATCTATGTCCACTTACATTTCTAATGGTCACCTGTCGATTACAAATTTAAATTGGTTGCGGGTGTTAGAAAACCTTAGAGAACTTAGATTGAGTGGTGTTGATATGTCTGAGGCATCTATGGTAACTAACTGGGCAGAACCCATTTCATATCTTCATGATCTTAGTTTGCTTTATCTGTCTGATTGTAAAATTTCTGGTCCTATTCCCATAGACCATTTTCTTAAACTCACTCATCTGAGTTCTCTAAACATGGATTTCAGGTGAGCTGGTCAATTTGACATCTCTCTCAGTCCTGGATTTGACAAGCTCTCATCTCCAAGGTTCACTCCCCTACCTTCCTCAATTGCAAGAGCTTTATGTAGGTGACAACCAAAATCTAACCATTGATCTGAATTCAATGTTTGCAAAACCATGGCCCCATTTGCAGAGGGTTTCTATTTCTTCAACCAATGTAATTGGACCAATTCCAAATTTGATTTGGAACATCAGTACTTTGGTTGAATTCTCTTTTTCCAATTGTGGAATTCAGGGACCAATACCCCCTTCACTGTTTAACCTTTCAAACTTGGAATTTCTTGACCTCTCTTTCAACCTCTTAGAAGGACACATTCCATTTTCAATCTCCAATGTTAAAGGTCTCCGGTATCTAGCTCTGCTCCAGAACAACTTGGAAGGACCAATACCCAAATCAATCTGTGAAATTTCATCATTAGCATACCTTCACATGGGAATCAACATCAACGGAACAATTCCAGATTGCATGGACCAGCTGTCTAGTCTCCAGGTTTTATATGTGAGCGACAACAATCTTGATGGAATCCTCCTTTCATTTCTTTCTTTGGTCTGGAACTCCAATCCAGTTGTAGTAGGTTTAGGCTCAAGTGGCCTAACTGTCATAATAGACAAGCACCCATTTCCATCTGAGTTTCAGCCAAAGATGTTAGATATGCGGTCATGTAACCTAGGGGGTGGTATCCCAAATTTCATTTCTATTTTGACCCAACTTGCATTCTTAGATTTAGCAAACAACAGCCTCACTGGAACAATCCCTTCCTGGCTGTTCAAACTTCCGAAACTTGCTTTCCTAGATCTGTCATACAATGAGCTCCAAGGAGTCCTCCCACCTACTATTCAACTTCAATCTTTCTACGTACCAACAACATTGCATTTAGCAAGCAATAAGCTTCAAGGCCCTATTCCTCTTTTACCTGAAACCATAGAAATTGTTGATTTGTCAGCTAATAATTTCACTGGAGTAATCCCACCACAGATTGGAGAACGACTACAGAATGTAAGATTCTTGTCCTTCTCTGGGAACAAACTTACAGGTCCCCTTCCACATTCTTTCTGTACGCCAGGTAACGTTGTCCTGCAGAACCTTGATTTCTCTGACAATTTAGGAAACTGTAAATCCCTCGTTTCTCTAAACCTTGGTGCGAACAACCTCAGAGGAAGCATCCCAAACGAGCTCATGTGGTGCAAAAATCTGAGCTCCCTCCAACTAAACGATAACATGCTTGATGGTTTGTTTCCGAAATCCATTCAAAATCTTGAGAGGTTGGAGTACTTGAACCTGGGAAAAAATAGCTTTGAAGGAACAATTCCTAACTTCATTGGAGAGCTTCCTAATGTTCGTATTCTTGTGCTTGCATCGAACTGTTTTGATGGGTTGATCCCAAAAGAAATAAACAACTTACAGAAGCTGCAAGTCTTGGACCTCTCCAACAACAAACTCCTTGGTCCCATCCCTGAGGGATTAGGCAATTTGAAGATGCTAAAGAATCGACCCAAAGATGGGGTCTTGCTCGGTTACATGATCTCATTCATGTACAGTGGAGTGCAATTGGAAATGGTAATCAAAGGGACACTTCGTCGATATGATGCAGTATTCAGCTACACTAGTGGAATTGATCTTTCAAACAACTCTCTAACAGGAGAGATCCCACCAGAAATAGGCCAATTACAGGGTCTATACTCTATACATGCTCAATCTATCGCATAATAAACTCTCAGGTGAGATCCCAAGTAGTATAGGTAACATGAGAGGCTTGGAGTCGTTGGATCTCAGCTTCAACTCTTTCACAGGAGAGATCCCAGCATCATTGACTTCTTCATTGGACTACCTTTCTATATTGAATTTGTCTTACAATAATTTGAGTGGGAGGATTCCAACGGGGATGCATTTTGATACATTGAAGGGAGATGGAGATGGGGACGGATCACCTTTCATTGGAAATGCTCTTCTCTGTGGCGCACCTTTGGAGAAGACATGTAATGAAACTGGACCCATTGGTTCTGGTGGTGGGGTGGATGATATAGAAGTTGGGGCTGAAAGAGAAGACTTACCATTTTACTTAGCTTTAATTTTGGGCTATGTATTTGGGTTTTGGGCACTTTTCGGGGTTTTAGTTCTGATGAAAAATGGATGGTTCTGGAAATCATATTGGAGGATGGTTGATATGATGGCATTGAGGATCTTTCACTATCTATGTAATTCTATGTAATTTATTTATTTATTTTTTTGATAGAGGAAAGAAGGATATATACAAATGCACACACATACATACACTTATATGTACGTTCATAGGCTTTTTACTAAGAAAATCCTCATTTATCATGGTTTCTTTTTAAATACAATGAGTATATAATAGCCTAAACATGGTCAACGTTTTTTAGTAAGCTTTTCGTGTTTGTTTGTTCTCTCATGTCGTTTTTGAAAAAAATCAATTAGAGATTCTCCTTTTTTCCTTTCTATCCTCCCAATTAAGTAATCTGGATCTCCTACCCAAGACACTATAATTGTACATTGGCAACATCTCCTTATGAATGGTAATATAAAAATAAGGAAGATGTTCTCAATGTACAATTGTAGAGTCTTGTGGGTAGGAGATCCAAACACCCCCAAAGTTACAAACACGTCCCCCCACCACCATCACCAGAATAAAGATAATAAAACAAAAAAATAATTTCACCGAATGAAGTTGGAAAAACAGATTTTGAATGCAATAGCAAAGTTAACAACGAACATTTAAATGAAATAATCACATTGTAAACCCTGTTATTCTTAGATACAAGCATGTCATCAACAAAAATAGATCCTTCCCAACTCCAAAACAACTCAACTTAGCTGATCACTTCCGAGTGTAATTTTTGTTCAGAAAGATTAAATTAAACACCTGAATATCAAACACCAAAACCCTAGAACTATGAAATCTATCAAGGGTAACCGAGATTATTTTGAGGCCATGGATGCGACAAGAGGGAGTTCTTGAGTGTTACTCACCTTTTTCTAGTGTTTTCAACCCGTCGTTGAACTATTCGAACTGTCACACAATTAGGATTTCAGGTTCGGTTTTATTAAAACCCGTTAGTTAGTCAGAAATTGTTGACTTCGTCAAAAACTATCTGACCTGGGTGGTTTAACCGTCAACCCGTTCAACCTGGTCACTAGGTCACAGGTTGCACACTCAATGCATGCAAACTTTCGGAAGTCATAACTTTGCATTTCAATGACCAATTAGGGTGATCTTTTTTTTTATAACTTTTCGAGATCTAGGCATCTCAGGTGCCTTACCTTGTTTCTTTTGCAAAAAAAAAAAAAAACTTTTTGGCCTAAAATTGCAATTTTTAATATTTTTATAAATAAAAAAAGTAAAAGCATAAATTAAATATAAAATAATACATATATCATATCTAAAGTAAAAAAAATAATATTTTTATAAATAAAAAATTAAAAACTGAACCGCGGTGCCCACAATTCGGTTGGGGTACATGGTATTTTTTTGAAATTGAACCGATACACCAGTTTTTAAAATCCTCAAACCAAATCAATTGGTTTTGGTTTTTAACCAATTCAATTCTTTGATCTATTGAGTGAGTGAACTTATTGCCTGCTTGTGCAATACAAGATACTGAGTGTGGGGTCATCTCCCAAGGGGCTTGAACCGACTCAGTTTGTTTTTAAATGGAGTTGTCACCTAAATTTTTTAAATTAGGAATTTATGAAAACCTGAATTTTCAAGAAAAATCTTTTTTTTAGTGATTCTTGATACAATGGGGATGAGATCTATTATGGGTTTAGGGACCAAGGTACAGTGTGGGAAGGTGTTAGGCACCCCACACACGTCTAGTTTAACCGGCCTTTACTTCACTAAATTCCTAAGGCTACGTTTGGGGTGGAAAATTGAACAGGGGTAAACTTTACACCCCAGTTCGATTTTACTAGCGTTTGGTAAACATGTAATTTTACATCAAAAATTGGTGTAAAATTACATCTTCTTCTTCTCCTTCTCTCTCTCTTCTCCTTCTCTCTTCTTCTTCTTAGGTGAATTTCAAGCTTTCCATTTCAATCGATGTATCTAACCAAAAGGTTACTTCATCGCCGTCATCCACTAAGTCGATACATTCTACACCAGTTCCAATTAACTCGTTGAGACCTTTCAATCATCACAATAACCAGCATCATTATTGATGTAACCGTTTCCGGTCACGTATCATTTTTTCGTGATGTGTCAATTTTTTGGCTAAGTACCTCGTCATCTCGTCTGCTCTCATGTGGTCGGTGACTCAGAGGCTGAAGTGGAGATCCCTAGTGGTGAGCTGCCTGGTGGCGAGCTACCTAGTGGCGAATTGCCTGGTGCCAAGCTGCCTGGTAGTGAGCTACCTTGATGAGTTGCCTGGTGTTGAGCTACCTTGATGGACTACCTGGAGGTGAGCTACCTTGATGGGCTGCCTGGAGGTGAGCTACCGGGTGGGCTACTTGGCTTTCTGGATGAGCTGCTTGGTGGTGAGCTACCTGGTGGCTAACTGCCTTGTGGTGAGCTACCTTGATTAGCTGCTTGGTGGTGAAACCTGACTGCTCCTTGTAGGAGATGATCAGCTCATCTTTGTAGACGGCGGGAGCTGAGGGACCTGCAAGAACTGAATCGGAGAATCCGGGGGTGTTTACCCGGCGAGGTCACTCCGATGGCTAAGTTAGCACTTTGATAGTAGAGAGCTTGAAGATGATATTAGAGAATGAGAGAGCTAGAGAGCAGGGGTTACCATCCTTTCATCCCCTCTCTTTTCGCATCATACCTTCACCCCTGGGGGGTGAGGTCTTTATATACTAGAGTCCTCATGGATTAGGTGGAGCAATTCCTGGATCCCATTTGTGATGGGACTGGCTTGCGTGTTAGTTGGGTGAAATGCCATCAAACGGTAAAATTGTCCCTTCCCGTCAGAACTGGGGAGTGGGTGAGTTGATATAGCCGTTACAAGTCACAATCCCGTAAAATGCAGGGTACGGAGGTGTGTTCCTTGAGGTCGTAAGGTTGGCGCTTGTGTCAGGCCGCCAGGTCAGTGCCTGGGCCAGGCTACCAGGTCGATGCCTGGGCCAGGCCACCAGCTCGTGCCAGGGCCAGGCTGCCAGCTCGTGCCAGGGCCAGGCTGCTAGCTCGTGCCAGGGCCAAGCCACCAGCTCGTGCCAGGGCCAAGCCGCCAACTCGTGCCAGAGCCAAGCCACCAGCTCATGCCAGGGCCAGGTCGCCAGCTCGTGCCAGGGCTAGATTGCGATAGGGCCAAGCTGCCAACTCGTGTCAGGGCCAGGCTGCTAGCTCGTGCCAGGCTGCGCCTGGTGGGATACCATCAACTCAGCAAAGGCAAGTTGTTGTCAAAGTGGTCCTGGGTGTAGCCTAGTTGTTTTGAGGTGTCAGGCTACAAGATGGCGAACTGCCTAGTGGCGAGCTGCCTGTGTGTTGCAATGATGGCGAGTTCGAGCTGTCTAACTGTCAAGGGGCTGCACTTAGTTGGCATGATGTGCCAGGTGTCACAATGTCATTGGAGGGCCAAATCCGCCCTCATCAATTATCATTCTTCTCTAATGGGGTTTCATCATAATTAGAGGGAGAATGGATTGAATAAGAGGGGAGGAAATAGAGAGGAAGATGGGTTTCGTCGTAATCAGAAGATTCAGAACTATTCAAATACGTGTCACCAGCCTCGGGGCTTCGGTGATTGGAATTCCATTCGAGGGTTCAATCTCTGGCCGAGGAACCCACATCCGCCATTTCATGGATTTGTTAATTGTCCCGTAGGGTTTCTTCCGCCACCGCCACCTCTTTGGCATTCTTTCCCTCCTCTGATTGCAATTGTCAATCCTCCTTATGTCAATGTTCTTCCTCCATCTCCCCCTCCATTTCCAGGCTGCATTGCCTCCGTATGGGTAATATAATAATGCTTACATTCCACTTACAGATGCATACTATGGTCCACTGGTGCCACCATCTGCACCTTTTATGGAAGTTGTTAATGGCAGACCACTAGCATCTTTTTCTCTTTCCATCATGCCGCTGCAACTGGTTGTAGCGGCAAATCTGAACCCCTGTGGCCTGTTGGGTTGTTGTAGAAGTTGTGAGCTTTGTCGTTCATGGTGGATATCCTATTTTTAGGGCTTGTTTCGTGGTTTTTACTTTCAAGGGTTTGGTTTGGTGGTGAGGTGAGACACAACGGAGAGGTCAAGGGAACACGTCCAGTATGAAATGGTAGATTTGTCTCTCTTCCGGTATGAAATGGTAGATCTCCAGAAAGGTCAACGGAGAGGTGACCTTTCGTTCTCTCTTTCTCTCTTCTCCTCCTCCTTTTTCTTCTTCTTCTTCTTCTTCTTCTTCTTCTTCTTCTTCTTCTTCTTCTTCTTCTTCTTCTTCTTCTTCTTCTTCTGTAGATCATCTCACCGAATTTACACCTTGACAACCAAACAAGGTAAGTGTAAATATTCAAAATGAACCAGTTTTAATTTCCATCGATCACTAAATCGGTTCATTTTTTCCATGGTGTAAAATTTGAATTTACACCTCAAACAAATGCAGCCTAAGGAAATTTTGATAATTTTGCAAGATTTCTGCAATTTTCTATAAATTTTTTGGTATTTGTATGCATTTTGTGAATTTTCTGCATTTTCTTATTTTTTTGCAAATTCTATAAATTTTCTGGTATTTTCATGCATTTTTTTCTGAATTTTCTGCAAAATTTTTGTAATTTTTGCATTTTCCTGTAAATTTTCTGCAATTTTGTAATTTCTACATTTTTCTGATTTTTTCTACAAAATGTCTACAAATGTTCTGGTATTTTCATGCATTTTTTTAATTTTCTGCAAAATTTTTGTAATTTCTGCATTTTTTGATATTTTTGCAATTTCTGCAAATTTTTGGGTATTTTCATAGTGTTTTCAACCTACCATTGACCCAACCAGTCGAGCTGCTCAAATCATCACCCAATCAAAATTCCAGGTCCGATTTGAGTAAAATCTGGAGGTCAAAAAACCATTGACTTAGTAAAAAACCACCTGACCCTGACGGTTGGACCATTGACCATCCAACCCAATGACCAAGTCGCAGGTTGCATACTAACTATGTATGCAAACTTCAAGAGGCCATAACTTTGCACTCCAATGTCCGATTGAGGTTATTTTTTTTTATTTTGGGTAACTTTTTGAGATCTATGCATTCCCAAGGGGCCATAGGCGCCTTGTCATACTATTTTCACGAAAAAAAAAAAAAACCCTTTTTTGGCATAAAATTACAATTTTTAATATTTTTTACAAATAAAAATATAAAACTGAATTAAAAAACATAAATTAAATATAAAGTACTTCATATATTACATGTAAAACATAATTATATATTATTTATTGATAAAATACATATTCATACCTACCTACACTGTGGCACGTTCTAACTCGTCCGACCCAGCCAGTCGAACCAGTGGTCTGCAACCCAGAGGAAAAAAACAGTTCAGCCTCTGGGCTGTTTTTAAAACACTGTATTTTCATGCTTTTTTTTGAATTTTCTGTGAAATTTTTGTAAATTCTGCATTTTTTATTTTTTTAACATTTTTTCAAATTTTCTGATATTTTCATGCATTTTTTTTATTAGAGGAAAAATTAGAAATCATGACTGATTCCGATTTCAGCCTTGTAATCTGATTTTGATTCTTGTCTATTTGGGTAGGGAGTAATAAGCCATTGCGGTTTCGAATCCGATTCTAATCACAAACAAAACGGACCTAAATGAGAGCCAATTTGGACCCTCCAGAATTCTCACCAAACATAACTTATAGGTCGCCTATATAGGGCCCACCTAAGAAAGCCATGAGTTGTTGTGCTGCCTGAAGTGGATAGCCCTTCAAGTGATTGACTTACAGAAATCTGGGTCAGCCTTCTCGCCAAACATAATTTATAGGCTGTCCATGTGGGTCCCATCTAAGGAAAGCTAGAAACCGCTACAAAGCCTACAATAGCTTATCCGAAGTGCCAGCTTAACTGATGAATCATCAGCTCAGCCCTCCAAACGGAAGTTTACTTTTGCTAAGCGATGGACTAACCGTTATAGAATATACATCAATGTATTAGTGCATATCGTATAATATCAGTCGGAAGATATTTCCAATACATGGCGGAGATGTGCTGTGGAAAATTATGTTATCATGGGAAGATATTTTCAATACATGACGGAGATGTGCTGTGGAATATTGTGTTATCATCGGAAGATATTTCCAATATATGGCGGAACATTATGTTATCATCCGAAGATATTTCCAATATATGGCGGAGATGTGCTGTGGAACATTATGTTATCATCGGAAGATATTTCCAATATATGGGA